AACTATCAATTTTTGTTCATTTTAGTATTTAAACTTTCATTTTTTTTCAAAATTATATATAAAGTTTAATTTTTGTTTTATTTTAGTACCATGACATTAAAAATTTAATGTTAAGTTCTAAAAAAATTGAAAATTTAGATTCTAAAACGTTACATAAATGATAGTTTAAGTATTAAACGTGTTAAGTTTTTAACGATGGATATTAAAATGAAAATTAAATGTTAGTTATCAATTTTTTTAAAAAAAATAAAAATTTAAATATTAAAACAAACAAAAACTGATAGTTTAAATATTAAATGCATAGTTTATCCAATAAATTAATAAAGAAAACAAATGTACAACGTGCGGAGGAATTCAACACCGGTAACATCCATTTGGTTAAGGTGGTGTCCATCTCTTATTATAGTCTGTGTTTCATACCAGTGGATTTCATATGGGTGTGGTCTTGGGATTTAAATGGAATAAATGTTAGATTTTGGGAACTGAAATAGAGTGATTTAAAAGTTTTGGGTTTAAATGATCATCGATGACGATAGTTATTACGTGGTCAATTAAGGTAGTGAACTAGTGATGATTGAAATTTGAATTCATATTTATGCGTCTCAAAAATTAATAAAAAATTAAGTTAGTATAAGCTTAGAAAAATAAAAATATTTAAAGTTTACGATAAATTTTTAAAATTTAATAATCAAAATAAACGTAATAAAAAAGTTGAGAGATAATTTCTGTAATTTGCCACATTCAGAAGACGTGACTTCTCCTCCCTATCATATCATTGTTGTGACTTGTGAATTGTGACTCGAGTCGAGTCAAATTTTTATTTATTTATTTAAGTTGAATAATCGTATTTTATAATTTAAATTTAATTTTAAATTTTTTCAAGTCGAGTTGAATTTAAAAAATTTGAGTTGAGTTATTCGAGTTTCTATATTAATTTTATTATAATTATTTATAGTATTTTGACAATGATTTATTCTAATGTTTTGACTTTATCTAACCATAATATATATATATATATATATATATATATATATATATATTCTTTTATATTATAATGATATTTAATATATTAAATACAATCTAAAATTATGAAATATATTCATAAAATTATATTTTAAAAAAGTATTTTGAGGGTAAAATATCGATAGAGTATAAATGAGTCAATGAATTGATGAGAATAAAGAATTTGTAAAAGATTTAGTCAAAAGACCAAAATGAGTAAAATGCAAAGTTAAGGGACTAAATAAAAAGAGAGTACATCTTTAGTAAAAAATAACAATTGAATTTACATAGATATTCTATTGTGATATATGAGAATGTGGTTAAAATTTGGTAAAAGCGAACTTATGACAAATTAAAGGAATAAGGAGATTATAAAAAATTGAAGAACTAAAATAAAAAAATAAAAATTTGTTATCAAAAAGAGTAATTGAAAATACACATGTATTCTACTATGATTTAGGAGCATGTGACTCAAATTTAGTAAAAAAACATACTTAAAATAAATGATGAATTGAAGAAATAAAGAAATAATGAAAAATTAAAGGACTAAATTGAAAAATAAAAAAATTATTTTGATAAGAACGAACTTAAAATAAATGACGAATTTAAGAAATAAGAAAATTATAAGAAATTAAATTACTAAATTAAAAAAAATATTATCAAAAAGAAGAATTGAAAGTAAACATGTATTCTATTGTTTAGGAGCATGTAATTCAAATTGATAAAAAAAATAACTTAAAATAAATGAGAAATTAAAAAAATAATAAAATAAAATACTAAAAGTTTAAAATATTTAGTCAAATTTTTAATTTTTTAAATAATTCAAAAATTCAAAATTTAAACTCGACTTACACTCAAAAAAACTAAATTTATAATTCAATAACTCAAAAAAAATAATTTTTAAGTCGATTCAACTTTTACTCGCATCGAGTTACTCGCTGTTTCAGCTCAGTCATTTCGCTAAAAGCAAAAGCATTGCCTTTTTACTCTTTCCACAATCCCTTATTATATTATAGTTCTTTTGGCTTCTACCTTATGTACAACAATAATATTTGCTCAAAAAACACCGTGCAAAAGAAAAAACTTACTTTAAAAATAACAATAATAATTTATCTTAAAATTAAGTCATATAAAAAATAAAATTTAAACTCGTCTAATAATCTCTTATTAAAAAATTGTTATTCATATTTTAAATTAAAACAATTATATTTATAAAATATATATATACATCATTAACGATTAAACAAATATTGTTTTTATAATCAATGCATACAGTAAATTTAAATTCATGCTAAATATAATTCATCCAAAATTAAATCTGTCGAGGATTTTCCGTCGGACCCTTCAGAACAAACCAAACACAAAAAACAATTTTAAATTTAAATTTAAGAATAAAGTTCAAATTAAAAGGTCAAACATGCTTAACTCCATCACAAACAAAAATGACAGTCCAAAATGCAATATAATATAATTATTAGCCGATCATCAAAAGATTCATTATTTTGTTTTTGTTTTCTCCTTTATCCAATTTCCTTGGTATTTGAGGACATTTTTTTAGTACTTAACGACCTTTGTATTTATAAACTCTTTCTTCTCCAATTTCTGCTCTTAATTTCCACGCATCTCTACAGTTTCCTGGTATGTTCTCACTCTACAGTTTCCACTTCCAATCTTCGTTTTCTTTTAAACCTGTTTATAGTTCATGGGAATTTCCCAATGTGTAGTTTTGTTTTTGGTTTATGGGATTGGGAATTTCAGGCTTTTCTATAGATATATTTCAACTTTCTGATTTGGTTTGTCAATGGAACAGTTTAGAAATGGACAGGGAAAAGTATGAAAACAGAAGAAGAATTGGGTCAGTTAAAGCTGCTGTTAATATAAATGGAGATATGATTTTGTATGGAAATTCTTCATTGAAGAAACCCCCGATGGATTTTCCAGAGGTATAATTTTTACTACCGCTGTTAAAAGTGAAAACCCTTTTGTTTATATGCAATTGTTGGGATTTTATAGTTTTCAAATTGACTGACAAAGTTGCAATCTTTGGGGTGACCCTTGTTTTAGAAGCCTTGTTCAAGGGTAAAAGATCTTCAAAGGGCAAGAAGGGGAATGGATAGATACAAAGAGAGCAGAAGGACCGCAGAATCGGCAAAGGCTATTGCAGGAACCGAGCTCTTTGGTCCAAGGGAAACGGTTAACGATTCGGCTTTGGTGTTTGAGAAATCAAATTTTAAGGCTAAGAAAAATGCATCGGTTGTCAAGAGGAGTATCGAAAGTTATCAGTATGAAGAAGTGATGAGAGAATTGGAATTGGTGAAACAAGAACCGAGTCAACTAAAGCTTCATATGGTATCTGTTATGGAAGAGAAAGCAAGAGCAGAGAAGGAATCTGAAGACTCTAGGTTTAAAATGAAGTCTAATGGTGCCACTGTCGAAGTGCTTAAGGAGCAAATTGAGTCAGCTAAAGAGGAACATGTGCTAGTTGAATTGGCTCAGATTGAGGCTGAAAAAGAAGCTGGAGAAATTGAAGCTCAAAGAGCGAAAGAAGCCGGTGAGTTCTCGTTTTGGACTGGGAAAACAAAGAAGAAAGTTAAGGGCATAACTGAAGAGATTGATCAATCCAAAGAGTTGGAAACAAAATTTGGTGCCACTTTGTCTGACATTAGTCTCTTACAAGATGAGCTGAAGCAAGTTAAGGGACTAGACAGTGTGGATACGAGTGGTGATGATGATGACTTGAAGCAACAAGATGATAGTTTTCATAGTGTTGAAAGAGTGAAACCTTCAGTTTCCTTGGAGTCGGTCATGAAAGAACTGGAGGCAGCTAAGAAAGAATTGGATTCCATCAAAGATGAAGGGTTTCAGTATATGTCCTCCATGGATATCATAAGAAATGAGCTGAAACATGTTATAGAAGAAACAGCAAAGTTGAAGAAAACTGAAGAAAAGGCTGATTCGAAAGTTAAAAGCCTCAATTCGAAGCTGGTGAGAGCCAAATCCAAGTTGGAAGCAGTGACTGCAGCTGAAGAAAAGGCTAAATCGGTCGAGATGAACGTTTCCCTCACCCTTGAACAGTCAAGGGCAGAACTGGAGGCATCAAAGAAAGAGAAGATGCTTATCACTGAAGACATTGTAACTATCGAGGCAGAAATCCAGAAAACTGAGTCCGAAATAGACGTAACCGAGGAAAGATTACAGGCAGCTATGCAAGAACTTGAAGCGGTTAAGTCATCAGAAGCTTTAGCTCTAGAAAAGTTAAGATCTCTCATAGAGACTACAATGCAATCTAGAGCTTCAGCATCTAACCATAGTTTCACAAACACTGTCTCAAGGATTGAGTATGAGTATTTAACTGGACATGCAGTTGGAGCTGAAGAGATCGCAGATAAAAAGGTTGCCGCAGCTCAGGCATGGATCGAAGCTTTCAAGGCCAGTGAGAGGGAGATATTGATGAAAACCGAAATGGCTTATAGGGAGCTTAGAGAATTGAGAGTAGATGAGGAGAATGATGTATCACTTCCAGCAAAGAAAAATGTGGATTCACCAAACGTGCAATTAGCTTTTGTTAGAGTTAAATCCACGGAAAGCCATGGCAATACAACCCCATCACGAAGAACAAAGCTCTGTAAATCTGCCTCGCCTGCAATACTGGAGAGTTGATCAAATTCATTCATCATTAAGAAGAAAAGAGAATTTGATGCCAAATTTAACCAAATTCTTTGATGGAAAGAAAGTTGACAAAGATGAGTAAGCTGCTGGTGAATGTTTTGTGCTTTCTTTTACAAGCATTTGATTGAAACACAGTTGGAATGATGTTTTCCCAAAAATTACTTGCTTCTTTTTAATTAAAACTTGAATATGATACGAGTGTGTAAAGGATAATAAGAAATGCAATTGTCGGTGAGTTTTCAACTTGGCATGGCTCATTAATAGTTCCTGCTTATATCAGATGTTTGCCCATTTCAGCCTTTTCATGACATTTGCGGACAATAGTTATATCACTAATATTATATATCAAAATGATGCAAACCATGCAAAATCAAGAATGTACATTTAAGAAAATGCAAACACTACAAACCAAAGACGAAGTCTAATTTAGAGCGGCAGTTTGCCTTGTTCTTAAGCTCCTTTAAGCTGCTCCATTATTTGCTCTGACTGGTTTCTCCTGTATTCTTTCCCTCGCATTGTTTGCCTGCCATTTTCCAACCTTTGTCGATTATCTATTGTTTAGGATTTAAAGTGTATTAACAGATGAAAATTTACCTGTTTCTGCCAATTAATAGAGGCAGTGACGATCGCAAGCACCAATGCCTGAACAGTAGTACCGGACACGATCCCGGTCCAAAGCCCCTTCCCTCTCCACTTTGCAACAAAACACAGACAAGCTGCTACTGGAATTCCCACTAGGTAATATGCTCCCAGATTTACATAGGCACCAATATGCTGCCACCCAGTTCCTCTTGCCACGCCTAATAATCAATATAAAACTCCCATAAACAAATCATAATCTAGATCATTATAAATTGCAGTGTTATTGTGTTACAAGTGTTAATTTCAATGCAGGCACTTGGTCTCTGTGTCGAAGCAGGGAAGGGGAACTGACCAGATAATACAGCTTGTAAGCTGTCCATGAAAACAGAAATGCAAAGCAGAGGAATAATTTGTGCAATATAATTGACGACTTCCACTTCATTGCTAAAGATGTATCCAAAGACATGGCGCCATGAAAGGAAGACGGTGACCACCATGATTGGCTCGATTAATCCAATTACTGTTGCAACAATTACAGACAATCGAGCTGCTTCTGGATTTCCGGCTCCTAATTCATTCGAAACCCTTGTGCTGCCAAGTTTACTCATCATTGATTCCATGCATTTTAGATCATACATATTTGTGGCTAATTAATATGATAGAGTTTCATATGATGAAAGGTTACGAATTTTACCTTGCAGCAGCGCTTATCCCATACGGTACAAAGAAGTGTAATGTGGTGATTGTCATGCTTTAACGTTGCACAAGAGATAGTTAGTATATAAGAAGAAAAACAAAACCCTACACACTGAACTGAAGTTCTAAAGCACTGAATTATTACAGGTTTAGATGCTTACCATATTGAAAGAACCGAAGTTTCAAGCATTGAATCCGGTAGAAGTCCAGATAACAGTATAAGCAGCTCAAATGACCACCATTCAAGGCTACAGAATTGACCGATAACCGAACCAAAGAAAATTAATTCAGTTAGAACCAAATTATGAACATCCCTATAAATCATATAAACCAAGAAGGTTTTTACATTACCAAATCATTGCTGCAGAAGGGACTCCATAGCTAAAGATCTCTTTGACGCATGAGAGAACGTCCTTGAAGACGAAAGCACGAGACTTCTCACATGCTGAAGAGTACCTCATGTAAATAACAAGCAATGTTACATTAAACCAGAGAGCTAAACCGGTTGATAAAGCCCCTCCAGCTATTCCCATGCTTGTTTTGTACGTTAGAATCCAACAAAGACATGTATGGAGAAGTACAGCTGCAGATGAGCTCAAGAACATGGGAAGAACCAAGCTTTGACACTGAAGATATCGAATCAATGACTGGAGAATCGGGTATGCAAGCAGTGCAGGTATGAGCCAGATTGCATACCTGCCAGCTTCCACTGAGATTTCAGGATTTTGACCCAGTGATACTAACAGTTTGTCCATGAATATCCAAGAAAAACATATCGGGATACAAATGGGATAGAGGGAAAGTATTGAACAGTAGGTGTAAGATCCGAGCTTTTGATATTGTTGAGCTCCATAAGCTTGCCCACATAGAGTCTCCAGTGCACCGGCGATTCCAAACTATTGAATGGAACATAAGAACATATGGATAGTGTAATTAAGTTTGGGATAAACTATATATATAGTCACAAAACTATAGGGTAAGTTATATTTTGACCACTGTTATATTAATTTTTGCCAATTAGACCACTTAACTTTTAAACAGTATCAATTAGGTCACTGGTCGTTAACTTAAATTTAATGGAAATATTGACGTGACAATTAAATAAATTTGTATAATTATATATTTAGTCAACTATTTTTATACAGTCAATTAATTTGGTCCAAATTTTAAAAATAATTAATGTAGCCCTTGATATTAACAATACATTTCAAATTAATCCTAATTTTTTATTAGAAATAATTAAGGGTTAAATTTATTATTATTTTTAATTAGGACAAAACTGATTGATTATGTAAATATTAACGATTAAATATATAATTATACAACTTAACTACCACGTCACATTTTTGTTAAAGTTTGACCGCTTCTAATTGTAGTTGCTTAATTGACTCTATTTAAATACTTCCTCCGCCCCACTAAAAGTCTAAAGCTCTCCCTTATTGACTTTTCAAAAGTTAAAATTTTAAACTTTCACCACACTTATTTTTAATATTTTAAAAATAAATTTTATAAAATATATATTTCAAAACAATTTGATTAGACATTTTTAAATATTTTTTTATGTTTTTATCAATAATAAATTTTGAATAATAAAGAGTCAAAGTTTAAAAAATTAATAAAAATATAGTCAATAAGGGGCAATTTTAGTGGGACGGAGATAGTAGTTAATTGATCCAAATGAAAAAAAAATTAATAGATCAATGATCTACATAGAATCTATTCCATAATTAAGTGGTCATTCATGTATTTTTTTCCTTAATTTTTATGTTCTGAGAACCATTACTATTGTTGCACATACTATGATAATAATTGATTTAACATAGATTTGGCATATTTAACCTCAATGGAAGAAAGTTCAAATATATAATTTAAATTTGTTTTCGAAGTGTGAAAACCTACAAAATTAACATATATTGACCACATTTCACTTATCACCTTTCTAGTTCTAGATGCAATGATTAGTAATTTTTGGTTAAAAAACACAAATTTATAACATACGCGTGTGTGTGTGTGGGTTAAACAAAATTAACATATATTGACCACATTTCACTTATCACCTTTCTAGTTCTAGATGCAATGATTAGTAATTTTTGGTTAAAAAATACAAATTTATAACATATGTGTATGTGTATGTGTATGTGTAAACCCATTCCCATTAGCTTAAGTAGCAAAAAGAAATGTTATTTGTTTTAGAAATTTCGAGTTTAAATAGTTATTCTTATAGGGTATGTGTTGTTAATTATTAAGAAAGATTTGGATAACATATTACCTTATATCATTTCAAAAGATTCAGAAAGAATGTTTGTGTATGTATATGGTTTAAATATATCAATAGTCCCTATATTATTTTAAAATTTTAATTTTAATTATCATAATTTAATTTTATGATATTAAGTCGTTATACTATTTTTTGTTCGAAAAAATCACTCTTTTCTAAATTATGTTCAATTTTATTGTTTTGTTGACCCAGAATCTATAAGAAGATATAAAAACAACTTTTTTAGTCCTTTAGGTTAACATTTATTTTATTAATTTGACCCTTAAAAAGTTACAATAGTCGATGAATGAAATTGTATTATTCAATTAATGATATTTTTATTTGTTTTGAAGATAACTGATCAACTTGATTAAAATTAAAACATAAAAAAATAAAATTATTTTATATTTTATAACTCTCAAATAGAAAATTAACTATAAAATCAATTTTTTAATAAAAAATAATATAAATATTCAATGGTGAAAATAAAATAATAAATTAAATTTTAAGTTAAAAAATAGACTCCTAACAAATTTAAATTTATATATATTTGCACGAATCAAATGGCCTCAATAATTAATGAATTTATTATTAACCTTTAAGGTCTCGAATTTGAGTGTCACATATGTAAAAATATGAGTATTCAATGTTAAATGATTGATCATTTTTAAACATATATATATATATATATCTTATTACACTATATAAAGTTTCTCTCAATTTAATTATTTTGATTATATCTGTGATATTTGCATCTTCATATACAATTAGTAATTTTTTGTCTTTTTATAAACAATATCCTTAATTATACTATTCTTACGTCTTGAAGTTTGTGGGTCTACCAATAATTAAAGGCCCGCCAATAATGGTGAAGAGGATAGGTTAAAAACTCGAATAAATTAATGTAAATTCATATTAAAATCCGAATCTTTAACTTCAAAGGTTAAAAAAATATTCTTTCCCAACATTTTATACTTAAGTATATACATCTATAAGATGTATCTTTATTCTCAATTATTAAAGAAATATTATAAAGTAAATATTATTATAACACTTTAAAAAATCACTTTCTCAGACATAATTTCGTACTTTCTTTTAATTTAAATGAAAGGAATTTTTACTTTTGACTTTTACTTTATAAAAGTTCCATAATGACGTTTTAATAAAAATGTTAATCATAATTACAAACCCTTATCTTAAAGATTAAGCTAGATTATCACATTGATAGACACATCCAATTTTTTATTTTTATAAATGTATTTTTATATAAAATATTAATTTCAATTTGAATGCGATAAAATTCAATCAGAGGTCGTCATGTATTTCTTATGTTATTAGAATTTAAACTTTGATTTTGTCCAAAATGATTTCATCAGCTAGAAGATACATCTTCCACATGGCTTTTCGTTTATACTTTCAAAAGAAAAAAAAATTAGGTGTACGAAGTAGGTTGATTTGGATTACTTACCATAAAAGCTTAGAACTGAGAGAGAGAGAGAAAAAAAAAAAGGAAGAAAATCAATTTCTCTCCTTCCCTATGCGCCATAAAATAAAATATATAAATAATCTTTTATTAAACTTTGTCAATAATAAAATTAATAAATAATATCATATTCAACTTTTTAAAACTTAATTTTAATATTTGATAATGTCTATAAAACAAAGTTTCAACAATTAAATTTAAAAAAATAAAGTTTCAACATCATGCTATAAAAAAATTTAAAAATTCCACAGATAAAGATTCATTTTACTCATATATAAAAATCATGTGAGATACTCGTTCTGAATATTTTAAATATTATATAAAGAGATGTTTGATAATAATAAAAAAAATCAATTGAATAATAATCAGCATCTTCATCTTCTATGTTTCCAGCTTTAAGAATTAATTTGTAATGATCCAATATTCAGTACAAAGCTGATATTTGAATCATTATTTAAAAAAATCTACGTTTTTTAAGATACTGTAATGAAGCGGTGAATATCTAAAGTGATAATACGGTTGATTATGCTGTTTTTTAATGTATCTTTAATTAAGCCGGAGGATTTAGGGATTTTGAAGTTTCGGATTTAAATTTTATAGTGATTAACCTAGATTTGTTCCGATGAATTACTTCTTCGGAGTGAATTTGCGGGTGAAAACACGAGAAACTATGGAAATTAAAGGATTCGAGAGGGAGAGAAGACGTACAATAAAGCTGAAGCCGGTGACGTTGGCGAAGGAGACACCCAAGGCACAACCAGAAAGTGGTAGCTCCCCAAGGTGACCGACCATTATCATCGTTATGACCTGCAAACAGTAATGCGACACCGATACCGCCACCATCGGTACCGCCATGTAGCTCACCGCCTTTAACTCCTCTGCGAATCCGCTCCATGTTATCTTCCTTTTTTCTTCCTCTAAATTCCTTCTACATAGCAATGGCTCTTCCATTTCGTTCCCCTCTCCTTCTCTCAACAATATTCTCTATGATCCCATCTAAGCACCATCTATTGAGCTCTTGAATGTAGTTGGCTCAATATATTCTATTGATGATGATAAAAACGATGTGGGTACCTGCGCTTTAAAGAATATTTGATGGACTTCATAAAAAAAATGGTCAAAAAATAAATGTTTTGAAAGTGTATTTATTATAAACATATTTTGAATTTATCCGTTCTCAGTAGTTTAATAATATGGCTGAATTACCTATGTAGTCGCCTGATCATTTTTATAATCTGGTCACTAATGTTATATTTTTATTCTATTTTAATTATTAAATTTTAGTAAAAAATATAATAGCACAACAAGATATAATAATAACTTTAATTTTTAAAATTTATATATTCTATTTATATAATCACAAATCAAAATAATTTAACAGACATAAATTTTTATATTTAAAAATCCTATCATTTTTCTGTAACTTAATCACCCTTAGATATTGCCTTTGACATATTTGATTAACGAGCCCAACCACCATAAACATATTTCAAGGATTAGTATCTAATATGGAGTTGGCCGGTAGTGAAGACATTCGGGGTAATCATTATCATGGGCAAAATCCACGAGATAATGTTCTCGAACTTTTTATTTCACGAGATAATGCTTTGGACATATTATTTGCTGAGATAGGGTGAATTCTACAGTGAAACCGTAGGTCGCCATGCGCGACCAAGGAGGTCGCCATGCACTCCGGGCGACCAAGGAGAGGTCGCCATGCACTCAGGTCGAGCTATGCATGCATATGGGAGCTGTGCATGGGCCATGCACGTCGAATTTCCTTGGTGTAGGTCGCCAAGCAGTCCCGGCGACATGGTAGGTCGCCATGCACGCCCGGCGACCAAGCTTTAACCATCCTCTGCATGCCCTGCATGCCATAGCTGGGAGATTCCTGCCCAGCGACCAAGCTTTAACCCTTTGCTCCCTCATGCATGCGTTGCATCCATAGCTGGGAGATTCCTGCATCCATAGCTGCATTATTGCAGCGTTAATTTAGCTGCAAACTGCATCAAATACTGTTGTTGAATTGCAGCCTTTCAACGCTCAATAGTTAAACGATTCAACGCTCAATAGTTACACGATTCAACGCTCAATATTATTTGCTTCAACAGTCAAATTTAATGACGCTCTCCAACGCTCATTTGCTTTATATAAAGGATATAGGGGTTTAAGGTAGAAGCAGAAGCACATATAGAAACTTTGCCGAGAGAAAGAAAAGGAAGAAGAAAAAAAGAAGATAAATGCTCAAACATCGTTCATGAGGTAATTTTTTATTGTTTAATTTAGTTTATTATATGAAATTATTAGTTTGTTAGTTTAGGGTAAAACTAAAATTTAGTTAATTAGTTTGTTAGTATAAATTATTAGTTTGTTAGTTTAAGTTATATTATATTAGTTTGTTAGTTTAAGTTATATATTATATTATATAAAAAATTAGTTAATTAGTTTCTTAGTTTAAGTTATTAAATATAAAAAAAATAATTAATTAATTTGTTAGTATCTTTAAACGTATATTAGGTTGTTTGTTGAAGTTGAAGTTATATTATAAAAAAAATTAATTAGTGCTTAATTAGTTTGTTAGTTTGACTAAGTTATATTATAATAAAGAAATAGTTTATTAATTTAAGTTATATTATAATATATTAGATTATATAAAACTAATTTGTTTAATTTATTGTTGTTTAAAGAAATATTTTGTTTACACATAACATTATTCCACAACATTTGCCCACGTACAGATTGATTCGAAAAAAGAAATGAAAAGGAAGAAGGCATAAATACAAGGGTAATTTATTATTTTTCGTTGTTGTGTATGTATAAATTAGTTAGTTAGTAAGTTTATATTAGATTATATAAACTAATTTGTGCGAGATAATTTTCGTTTAAAAAATATTGTGTTTAAAAATATTTAGTGTTGTTTTAAAAAATATTTTGTTTAATTTATATTATATGTGTAAATTAGTAAGGAGTAAAAATTAATTGAATGAAATAATCCGGCCAACGCATTATCTCGTGAAATAATTCTGTCGAGAACATTATCTCGACATTTTTGCCTAACAAATTTATTTGATATTTTAAAAAAATAAAAATTATTATCAAATTAATCATTATTATTAGTAATCATTACTAAATGATTAGTATCAAATCTAAATCATTAAATATTTATAATAAATAATTATTAGTAATCATTACTAAATCATATTATTATTAAATCATTAAATATCAAATTATTAAATTAATAATAATGATTAAATCATTATTAGTAATATTAGTAATCAATCAATCAAGTTAAATAACAAATTTTATTTGATCGTTAATATAATAGTATATTATATTATATTTAATTATTTAATGATTTATGAAATTATTTTATCTAATTTTTTAATCTAAATTTATTTATTTTTTTATTTGTAGAGAAAATGAGCAACAATTTTTTCACGATTGTCCATTATAATGGACAGATTATGAAAAATAAGGTCGGAGTAGTTTTTTAATTTGAAAAACCAATAAATATGATGTTAAAAAAAGACATCACATTTATAGAAATGAATCATAAGATAGAAAGAAAAATTCGAGCTGCAGTTGATGGTTTGAGGTATAGTTTATGATATGCCTCAACCCAGTCAGAAATGTTGTAGTTCCACTTGAAGAAGATGATGATATTGGAACCATGGTTGGATTACATGAGTCAACCAATATAGCAGTTATTGAGTTATTTGTTGATGTGCGTAACATATGTGATGTTCCTGGGTCATCAAGAGGTGTGTCTCAAAATCCATCTGAAATGGCTTTATATAGTCAGTTTGAGGAGCCGACATACAAGTTTCTGAACAGTTTTATGGCACTATTGGAAAGTGTAAATGAAGTCGGAGGAACATCTGCAGCAGCAGAGTATGAGACGAGAAACATACCGGAATTGGCTGTTGATATAGATGCTGAAAATCGATGGGGAGAAATTCATGATGATTCAAGCGAAGATGAAGAAACTGAAGAACCCGTTTTGGGCGACGATGAAAATATTTTCGGTGGAGGTGCAATTGATGAAGTTCCGACACCGTATGAATATACTCCTCACATGTACGAGATAGACTATGATGCGATGAGGGCACCTGAATTCTAGACATGCCATATTTACCTCCGTACCAAATGACTGAATCATTCGATAATTCTAGTGAATTTTCAGTTGGGGTGCAATTCAGAGGAAAAAATGAAGCTACGCTGGCGATTAAAGAGTACTGCATCAAATTTCATGTTGATGTCCATGTTGCAGAGTCCAACCAGAAAACCCTATATGTGAAGTGTGTAAAATATGGCCCAGAGTGCAAGTGGAAGATTAGAGTGTCGAAAAATCAAAGGCACGATGTTTGAGTCATCACGAGGTACAATGGTCCGCACACATGTTTACGAAACTCCATCGAACAAGACCACCGACTATTGGACTCCGATGTAATATGCGAATACGTGAAGGCGATGGTTGAAAAGGATCCAAGGATATCTTGTTCAGTGTTAGCTACATCTATTCGAAGCCAATTTGGATATCAAGTAAAATATAGCAAGGTGTGGAATGCGAAGATGAAGGCAATGAAGCTGACGTATGGAGATTGGGATACATCGTACAATGAGCTACCACATTTGCTACAAGCAATGAAGCGATTTATCCCAGGAACCATAGTGAAGTCTCAAACCATGCCCGCATATGACGAAGAAGGTCAACTTCTGCCAGGGAAGAAAATACTTCATAGACTATTTTGGGCATTCAAGGCATGTATTGAAGGATTTCCATTTTGCAAACGTATGATCCAAGTAGATGGTACGTGGCTGTATGATCAATATAGGCATGTACTTTTGATGGCAGTTGCTCAAGATGGTGAGCGAAATATCTTCCCAATTGCATTCGCCATTGTTGAGGGAGAGACAACAGAGACTTGGGATTTCTTTCTGACCAATCTACGCTAATATGTCGTTCGTGAAGATGGAGTTTGCTTGATATACGATAGAGGAACATGTATTTTGACGACAATTAAACGACCAGGAAGTCGTTGGATACCTCCGTATGCATATCCGACATTTTGTATCCGTCATATTGGCAAGAATAGTATCGACCAGTTTCATAACGCACACATTCGTAGCGAGATAGTAAGCACGAGTAAGTTTTATTTTCAATAATTGTGCATTTTTTACGTGGTTTTTTTAATTGCGGTTTAACACAATATATTATGCAACAGGATACGAACTACGTCGACCAAATTTTGACAAGAGATTGGAGAATTTGAAGGTATTTTACGATGATCAGCGTGTTTGGAAGTGAACTTCAAAAATACCGCGAGAAAAATGGTCGCAAGCATACGATAAAGGTCGGAGATACGGATATATGACCACAAACCTTACTGAGGCCATTAATTTGGTACTAAAAGGTACACGCCATCTCCCAATAGCGAGTGTGGTGAAAGAGACGTACTTTAGATTGGCTAAAGTTTGGTCGGATAAAGGCAAGGAAATTGAGAGTGTAACACCCCCAACCCGTACCCGACCCGGATACGAGTCCGAGGTGTCACATTGACTTTTCAAACTTTGACTCTTGACAAAATTCAAAGAAAATTTAAAACTTTCCTTAGAGTAAAAGCAGCTTAGTTACATAATTTGACCACAATAACCAAAATCAATCAGAGCATATTTAACTCAATCAATTAGTACATGCCAACTATATTCAAAATTAAAAAAATCATTTAACTCATCTATTTTCTGATCTGAAATCTTGTAAGGGAGATGATGACCTGTATTACTCCTCACAGCTTCCATATTCACTTTCTGTAACCTGCGTGTGAAACACTCAAACGCTAAGTCGATGACTTAGTGAGGCATAAAGAAAACACATCTAATGGAATTCATACCCACTAATCATGCATGACTGTTTTATGCTATCAAATTATACAACTCATTTACATATACATCAACATATATTCATGTATATTATGTAACAGATACCATAACCCCTATCACACATATATCATATCATGCACACAT